GATAACCACATAGAAACTTATTAATAATTATAAATGCTCAGTCGATAGCTTAGGCTTGTTACTAACTAGTTCTTACATCTTAACCCATATTTTTTATCTACACTCTATCACATGGCGGTACCTTTTTCCAGCATGATATGTTCATCTCCTGTTTCTTCTGCATCTTGCTGGTGACCTCCACTGACTCTACCCCTCTTCTTCCCAGTGTCCTCTCTGTTTGGCTCTCCTGCCTAACCTCTTTTTGTCTAACCATCAACTAGTCATCTTTTTATTAATCCAATCAGAAGGCACCTTGACACAGATATGTCTTCATAGTGTACAAAAAGATTATTCAATAACATCCAGTTCTGCAAAGAGAGGTATGGATAGAACCAGGGTCTCTAATTTCATAATCTGATACTAATTCCAAAATCCATTATCAAACACAAAGACACAGAACAGCCAAGGTGAGGAAGGCACAGAGCACATGGTACTCACTCAGTTCCCAGTTGGCTGGCGACACTTTTGGTCTCAACTGCTTAGTATCCACAATGGGGCTTGGGGTCTGACCTGAGGGCTGAGTTATTTGGGGAGGATAAGTGTCCATGTGTGTCATGGTGGGCTGGGCCTGCTGATGTGGAGGGCTGAGATTCTATTTAGCTGCCTAGTGGGCGGCTCAGCCTAAACCCCATGGGGTAAACCTGGGTCTGGGTCCTGAAATGGAGGCTGGACGGAGTGCTAGGCATTCCACAAGATGAGGAGAAAGGGGGCTTTGTTGCCTGAAATTGAGCCACCCCAGCCTCTTTGCATACCCAGGCACTCTGCCAATGATAGAGAAACCCACATGGTGCTGTTGGGGATGCCAAGGCCTCTGCCGGAGCCACAGCCCACCCTGGCCTGAGTGTTTCCCATTAGTTATGCCCTCCTCACATCAGAGACCTGGACAGATACAACAGAGGGTACAGGCCCCAGCTGAGCCCCAGAGAGATGGGAGGTGGGGTGGTAGTGAACTTGGAAACACCTGCCATCGGCAAAGGGGTGGATTGAGGAGTGCTGGTCTGCCTTGTCCTTGGTTCACAAACAGTAAACTGAGGCTTAAAGAAGGGAAGGACCGAGCACTGAGGAAAAAACCACAAGGCCAAGCTGGAGCCTCTGAAGTCCCACTCTGCCCAGCCGTGGGGAACTTAAGGACTTCTGGGGAACACAGAATGAGCTTGGTCCTTCTCTGAGAACTGTCAGAGTGGTCATGTCTGGAGCTGGTGATGGCCAGTACCCTCTAGGCTTATGTAGTGAGCTCTCAGTCGGTGTTTAAAAGAGTTTATTAGGCCAGGCAGTGGTGACACACACCTTTAATCCCAGCACTCAGGAGGCAGAGGCAGGAGGATCTCTATGAGTTCGAGGCCAGCCTGGTCTACAGAGTGAGATCCAGTACAGCCGGAGGTGTTACATGGAGAAACCCTGTCTCAAACCACAAACAAACAACAAAGAATTTATTGATGTTCTGGGTAGCAGGGCCCTGCCCCATTCCCCTGCTCGCCCCTCCTCCACTGCGTCCTAAGCCTGCCTCCCCCAGGCCTGTCAAGACCTCTGCTCTCTCTGGCTCTTGCCTGTCCCTTTCCTTGACCCAAGGGCTGGGTTCCCCTGAGGCTCCCCTCTTCATTTCACAGGTAGAGTATTTGGAACTGGTGCTGGGTTCTGGACTGCCTGCAGCCTCCTCCTCAGCTACGGACCCTAGCTTTGTGGGTGAAGTGAGCTGGGAAAGTTCAGACAGCCCATAGCGTGGCGGCGGCGGCAGCCAGGCCTTGCCCTGACCTGGAGGCCCAGCTGGGGGTGGGGAGAGCAGGCTCTGGAATGCATAACCCTCGTGCCCACCCCTTCCTCAGACATGCTTAAAACAAAAAGTCCCTTCCTTTGTCCCAGACCCCTGCTTAATAGGATTGGGCGGGGTGGAGAGTGGGCCTCTGGTGGGGCAGGACTCCCCCTGCAGAGCCACAATGGGGCCCTGTGACATGGCACTGCCCCCTGCCGTGATGTCAGGGGCTGTTACAATGGCTGTACCCAGACGGGGGGTGGGACAGATGGCTGGGGACTGGGCCGTGGGGGTTGGGAGGGACACCTGCACCATGGAGCTAGGCACCGGATGGAAACTGAGGGCAGGCCCCTGGGCCCCACAAAGAGGGCCCTCGACCCAGTTTTGGTCAGAGTCAACGCTTCAGAAGAGAGGGTGAGATAAAGACAGACACAGAAAGACCGACACAGAAAGACAGACAGACACTGGTCTGCAGGCCATCCAAGCTGCTGTCAGTTAAATGTCAACAAAGGGCTTTGCAAAGGCCTCCTGGAGAAGTGGGGTAGAGGTATTAGGTATGGGGGCAGTTTCCAGGGCGGAGGGGGCCTTGCAGGGAGAAGGAGGGCCAGGCGAGTTAGTGTGAGTCAGGGGACAGCGGAGGGTGGTGAGTCTGGGAGCAGGAACTATGTGCAGACGTTGGGATTGGCCAGCAGCCCCTGGACCTGGTCCCTGATGGAGAAGGGCCTGGCCATCTAGCCGGAGACCTGGTCCTGAGCTGCCAGGCTGTGCCAGACCAATGTGGAAACTGCGTGGCTTGGCCTGGGCTGCGGAATGGGGAATGTGATGAGCCGGCTGAAATGGGGCCTGGGCCCGCGGGGGAAGCAGGGGCCCCGTCCTCAGCAGGGTGCCTGCAGCTTCCCAGAAACATGGCCAACAGTTTCAGAAAGAGACTGCAGTGGGGCCCGCTGTCTGGGTGCTGAGGCTAGGGTGACAAGACTGGGGAGGGGGGGTGTTCACCCTGGCCTTGGAGGGGTCACCCTGCACGTCCTCATGCCACAACCCAGACACCCAAGACCCAAGAGCGTGAGGGCTACAGGGCCCTTCTACTCTGTCCTCTTCCAGCCCGTGGCTATTTCCACTGAATCCAAGAGAAACCACCAGCCTTCAATGCCACTCAGAGCGAGCAATGGGGTTGAGCTGGTCCTTGTCGTATTCCAAAGCATCAGTCACCTCGTCGCTGTGGCATTTTGTTCTGTAACTTCACCAACATTGGTGTTTCCATTGGTAAAATGCAACAAATGAGCATCTTGCAGGGTTGCGATCAGTGGGTGGAGGGGGTGAGGCTGAGGATGTGAGGGGCAGTGGGTGGAGGGGGTGAGGGTGTGAGGGGCAGCGGGTGGAGGGGCTGAGGATATAGTTCAGTGGGTAGAGCGCTTGTCCAGCCCACACAAAGCCTGGGTTCAATCCCCATTACTGCATAAACCAGGTTGGGGGTGGGAGTGGAGGGGTGGGGGGTGGGGGTTGGGAGGATGCACATCTGTCAAGCCAGCTCAGTTGGTGGTGGAAGGGGGATCATTCCAAGTTCAAAGTCATTCCAGTTAGAGGAGAGGACTCGGTGGGGCCCATCAAAGGGTGGCCACAGTCCCTGCAGCTCGGGGCCCAGGAAGCTGGCTTCACCGCGGCTCGTTGTCCTGCTGAGAAGACTGAGTTGGAGATATGGTTCTTCTCTGGGTGGGGACGAGCAGGCTGGTGACACAGGGTTGTTGGCAGCAGGGTCACCAAGGTGTCCGTGTGGCAGCGGCGGAGGTGAAAGAGGCTCATCCTAACCAAATGAGGCCTTGGCGTGGAAAGGGACTCAGGCCCACCCGCAGATGGTGGGGGTCAAGGCAGGACCAGGTACACTCTCGTCCCCCCACCATAAGGGCTCTCCCCTACCTCACTTAGTCTCATCTAGTGGGTCCCCCTCTGGATACTCCAGACTAGGCCGAGTGGTCCTCTCCAGTTCCTTTCCCCAGCCTTGTCCCCACCCCATTGTTACAGTCACCCACCTGCTACTGCTGAAGGCCCAGTAGGGACAGAAAGGGCCCCCGGGGGGTGGGGTGGGGGCTGGTTCCTGTCTGGCTTCTGCGCTGGCCTCACACAGCAGGAAGCAACCACTTTGGGGAGGGACAAAGCAGCAAGCCATTTGGGTGCCTGGGGTGTAGACAGGGCTTAGGAATGTTCTAGAACTTTGGTCTCCTACCCCACCCCCCATTCCTCCCCTCCCCCCCGCCTCCGTCCCTCTCTTCTTTTTCCCTTTGTTTTAAGACAAGGTCTCACATAGCTCAGGCTAGCCCCCAGCTCCCAATAATAGCAGAGGATCTTTGAACACCTGATCATCTTGCTGAGTTAATAGGTGGGTGCCACCAAGTTCAACCCTTTAGACCTTGAGGGAGCCCATGGTGGTAGAGGGGGGAGCTTCCTGTCATGGTGGTTGGAGATGGTAAACGGGAAGCTGAGCTTGACTTCCCTCCAGAGAGAGAGCTGAGTGGCTCTGGCAAGGTGCCACACTGTCCTGGCCTCAGTGCTCAAACCTCTAAAATGGGACATCACCAGGCACTTAGAGCAGTGGGTGGTGGCTGGCAGCCAGGGGGTTCTCCGCTGTGCAATGCTACCTGTCTGCTTGTTTGCTTTAACCGGTTTTAACTGGTGATGTTGTCGACTTTGATCCCTGGTTACAGTGGCACTTGCCGGCTTTTCCCCACCAGGAGCTTGTTTTTTCTTTGCTTCCCTCTTTATTATTATCTTTATTATCTTTATTACAGCCTTACTGTACGCTTCCTTTTCTAAGATTTTGTTTTTAAGCTGGTCAGTGGTGGCACACACCTTTCATCCTAGTGCTAGGGAGGCAGTGGCAGGTGGATCTCTGAGTTCCAGGCCCATCAGGTCTAAAGTGAGTTCCAGGACAGCCAGGGATATACAGAGAAACGCTATCTCAGAAAAAAAAAGTTTGAATTACATGTTGCGTGTGTCCATGCACATAAGTGCAGTTGCCTGTGGAGGCCAGAAGAGGGCACTAGACCCCCTGGAGCTGGGGTTACAGGTGGTTGTGAGTTGCCATATGGTTGCTGGTTCTTTGCAAAAACAGTAACACTGAGCCATCTCTACAGATCCAACACTTCCTTTCTTTGGAAGAGCCAATATTCCACTTGCTAGAGAGAGGGGACATGAACTCTACCCAAGGTAGGGGGAGAAAATCTATCTGAATTATTTTGAAATCTATAAATCAATCTGTCTGTCTGTCTGTCTGTCTGTCTACCATCTATCTATTTTTGAAACAAGGTCTGTGTAGCCCAGGCTGGCCTCACACTCATGACCCTCCTGTTTCACTGTCCCCAGTGCTGGGATTCCAGGGTGTGCCAGCATGCTTGACTCTTCCCCATTTATTTGTGAACTCAGCTGTTTATTTGTGCTAGCATGAAGTCATATGTGTTTCTTTCGTACTTTGGGTCCTAAGGTGATGTCACCATATTTATTTTGTTGCTCACCTTGCCCTAGTCCTGCCCACTGGAGACTTTGTCACCTTGTTCCTGTGTCCTCAACATGGTCTATCTACTTTTTTGTTTTGTTGTTTTTTTGAAACAGGGTTTCTTTATGTAGTTTTGGTGCCTGTCCTGGATCTTGCTCTGTAGACCAGGCTAGCCTCGAACTCACAGAGATCCACCTGCCTCTATCTACTTTTTTTTTTTGTTTTGAGTTTTTCCTCGCTCCTTGTAGAGGCTCCCAACTCATCTTGGAGCTTCCCTGACTAGCCCTAGGGTCTTCTCTGAGAAACCATGGTTACTTTTACTAGAGAATGGAGACCTAAGGTTGGGCCGCTGGTGGCCACAGGGGCTTGCTACATCCAGGCTGCCTAGGAACACACCTGGGTTTGCTCTCATTTAAATGAAGTTTTGGGAGGTCGAAATGGCTCAGTGCGTAAAAGCATATGCCTGGAAAGTCTGATGACGTGGATTCAATTCCCAGATCCAAGGCTGAAGGAGAGAATGGACTCCCCATAGCTGTCCTTTGAATTTTACACATGCCCTGTGGGATGCACACATCTGTGTTCGATACATACTGTATACACATAAATAATAACAATAAAAATAAAATCAAACGGCATTTCTACTTTTGCGGATTTGGGGGTTCACTGCTACGTTAGGTAGCTGCTTGCTAACACCCACTCTGCCTCTGAGCGGCTGGACCACCTTCGCCCCCGCTGGATGCCGCCATCTTACAGGTCCTTAGGAAAGCCTTACACCCGAAGAAGGGGTTCCAGGAAAAAAGCACACGAGGTTGATACCCTTACACTGAACCTCTCCTTTTCCATGCCAGGACATCAGGTGGGGACAGGACCCATGCTGATTCTTCAGACTCTGTCAGTGGTGGCCCTGGCCCCTAGCCAAAGTGACAGTGGTCACCCTGGCGAGGTCAGATAAGAGTCAGGCATAGAGAACCTGACTCAGCCACTGTGCCTAGGACACCCAGGGAGCCCAGCCTGGCCCTAGCGGGCAGGACCCATTGCTCTGCGTGCCCATGGGTCAGGCAGGCCCAGCTACACCTGACCCGGGAAGGTCTCACCAGAACTCAGTCGGTTGCGACCCAGAGGGGCACCAGCTGGAGCAAGGAGTCAGGACAGCTGGCCAGCTTCAACACCTCAGAGCAAGTGGGGTGTTCTCTCACCCTTGCTGGTCTCTCTTGTCTCCCCACAGCTCTAGGCCGAGAGGCAGGAGGCCCGAGTTCCAGGCTTGCCTGCCTCTAATCATGCCAGCCACACCCTGCTTAAAACCTCAGTGGCTCCCTATTGCCGCCAACTTAAAGCCCTTGCTGCTGGACCTGCCTTACAAGGCCCTGGGATCTCTCAGGCATCCCACATCGTCATGCTTTAATAACACCAAATTGCTTGTGGCTCGCTTGCACAACTGTGCAGTTTCACACCCCCGCACCCGACTCTGCCTGCCCTGCTCCCTCCAACTGCCTCACTGGTTGGTTCCTCCTAGTACCAGAGGCAGCCCAGGAGTGTCTCCTCCTCCCAGGAAGCCATCCTTTGGAAACTCCACTCATTCACTCATTCTCTGGCCTCCTGTATGCAACATCTTCGAAGTCCCCACTATGGACACCCTGACATGTAAATCCGGTAGAGGCAAATGCTTAGGATTTGAAACTCAGACCAATGTCCTTGGTGGCTTTTGCTGTGTGACTTTGGGCAAGTCACTGACCATCTCTAAGCTTCAGTTTCTTCATGAGAAAATGAGGTGGGGGAGGTCCTGGCCCTTCTTTGATCTCTAGCCTGTCTCTAAAACACTGTGGTCTCAGGCAGGCCTGGTCACCGGACACAGCCTCAGCCTTCCTCTTCCATAAAATGGAGATGCCCACAAAATTCATGAATGCCGAGACTCCGGCATGACCAAACGTGTGGACGGCGCTGTAGCTAGGCCTCCTGTCCATTTTAGCAGCTCCCACCAGGGGAATGAGTGGGAGGGAGGCTAGCGGCTATTCTCACTGCCTCCCAGGCCTGCAGAAGCCTAGAGATCAAAGGTGATCGGGCCTGCTGGTGTGGAGAGGCCAGGGCAGGCTCCCTGGCCCCCTGCCCGCTCCTACCCACTCTTTCTCCACGGGTGACACAGCACCCTCCCTTGTTGTTATGCAAGCTCTATTTGAACACTTGGAGTTGGGGGCTCCCCTTTGCCCCCAACAGGCAGTCACAGACCCCACGGAGCATCCAGGATTGAAAGCCAGAGTCAGTTTGAACCATCTGCGGCTTTATTCCAGAGCAGAAATAAGTTGTTTTCTAACAATAAATATAAAAAAAATAAGTTAAGGTTCAAAAAAACAAAACAAAAACAACCCAATAAAATCAGTAACACTGACAGCATACGACAGTCGTCCAAAGGGTCGAGAGATGAGGTGGCTGGGCAGTGAGCCCCCTCAAGTCTGGCCAGCCCCGAGCCCAGGAATGTCTACTGCAGGGCATCCTCGTGCCCAGCCCTGGCAAGGTCCCTGCCACACACTCACTCTTTCCACAAGTATAAAATATGTACTTAAAAAAAACCTCAACACAAACAAGCATCCTGAGGGGGCCCCAAGAAAGCAAGAAACTGGCCCTCCAGGGCGGAGGGCGGGGCCCTGGGTCTGAAGAAGGCACTGGAAGATTGCTGTGGCTCCACCCAGCAACCTACCCTCTAACGAGGGGTGGGGCTTACAGCGTCCTAGTCATCTGGTCTTGGGCTGAGGGCCCAGCCTCAGTTCCTGAGGTGGCTTCTTGGGGAGAAAAGGTGACGGGAGGTCCCGTTTGGAAATGTCTCACGTGGGTGTCAATGGTCTTGGTGGCACTCTAGCCCCAGGGAATGCTGGGAATGCAATGGCAACTGCTAAGTGCTTAGCTGGGTCCTTGGAAGGGGAAGAGGCCCCTGCCCAGAATCCAGGAGTTTCCCCAGCACAGCCAGGGTGTCTTCAAGAGCCGCCTGCCGAGTCCTCAGGGTGGTGTAGATGCAGAAGTAGAAATAAATTAAGTCCTAGTGGCCTGGCATGGGTCGGCGGGGAGACCACTGTGTTTTTTCAAGTATTGTTGGTCAAGGTGGGCACAAGGCCCTGTCGGACTCAGATGGGGATCCCCACTGTGTTCACCTGGTCCTTGAGTCCCAGCAGGCTGTAGGCAATGCGCTTCTGGTGGCCAGGGAGACGCACCCCAATCCTCTTGATGTCACTGTGGGCGGGGAGGGAGAGAGGGAGAGTTAGGAACAGGGCTGTGCAGTGTGGCCCAGCCGGGAGTGGGCAGGGGGAGAGAGGGAGAGCTAAGAGACAGGGCAGGGAAGCAGGGCAGGGAGGGGGGTGAGGACCTGTGGTGAGGGTGATCCAGTTATGAGGGAGGGGGTCACATCCTAACGTGGCCTGCCACCTGACTCCAAGCAGCTCTTCACAGGGGTGGGGGAGGGCGCTCTTTATGTGTGTAAGCATTCACACGTGGAATGCACGGGGAGGTCAAAGGGCCACCTCACTTCAGGAGCTGCCCACTTTGAGACAGTCTCTCACCAGCAAGCTCCGAGGATATGCCTGTCTCCTCCTCGGCCCTGGGATTTCACGGGAACCACTGAGGCCAGCTTTTTTGATCTGGGTTCTGGGGATTGAACTCAGGTCCTCCTGCTTGCCCAGCAAACACTACTGGCTGAACAATTTGCCCAGCCTTAGATGCCCTTCTTACCCCTGTAGATCAGGGGACTGAAGTTCAGAGAGGCATAGGGACTTTTCTGAGGTCACACAGCTGGGAAGTACCAGAACTGAGAACTATACCAGCAGTGAAGACATGTTTTCCCGGTCTGTCTCCCTAAGTGGCAGGGGCATCTCCAGGCAGTGGCTTTTCAAGGACCCTCTAGGAGTGCCCTATCAAGGCCCTCCATCCAAGGACCGCCCCGTCCACCACCTCCATTCCCCTACACTCTCTCTCATCCCGCCCCCTCCCTAGTGGATAAGGTTCTACTAGACTAGTGGGTGAGGCCTGCAGGTCACCAGAGGCAGGCTGCCTTTCCTTGTGGAAATCTGAGGGATAGTGGTGTCCAACTGAGGGGTTAGGATTCAGTGCCAGGCTGACGATAGGTCCCAGGGGACCCATGAGGAAGGAGTAGGCTCTCCTGGCGCACCCCCGCCCCCATTCTAGGTAGAACCACGGAAGCTCTCAGGAGCTGCCAGCAGATGTCTGTTGCTAACTAACTCCAGGAGTTTTCTGCTGTGCTCACCCACCAGCCCTAGCTCATGAAAACACCCAGGTTTTTACAGGCCAGCTCTCGGCTGTAATTGGAGCTAATTATATGGTACAAGCTCCGGGAGTTCGCAATGCCGGAGACATGACTTTCCCACAGGCTCAGAAGAGCCAAGCACCGAGCAGGGACAGGCAGACCCAGGTGGGGAGGGAGGGGGGAGCTGCTTCTGCTGCGGCAAGAAGGCCAGGAGGTAGATGGGGGGTTGGTGGGGAACCTCCAGGCCTACCAGAGGGGCTGGGATGTTTCTCACAGCCCTTCAGGGACCACAGAGTGGGGACTGGAGAAGCACAGTAAACACCAGGGGAGGGGCTCTTAGGGAAGAGGTGGGGCCCTAGGCAACCCCAGACTCACTGGGGCTGATCCCACCCCGCGGCGGGGATGTAAACATCGCTGGAGGGCTGACCCCGGCCCCACTTCAAGGCCCTCTCCCCAGCACAGTGGCGGTTCCTTTCACCGTCTGGGAGTCTGAAGATTCTCAGGCCAGGTTCATGGCAAGGCTGTGGTGGGTCTGGTGGCACCTCCCAAGCCCATTTCTTTTTACGGAGATGAAAGGCTAGGATGATGGATTCCTGAGCACTGTGCTTCTTCCCCAAACCCCACAATCAACCAGCTAACCAACCAAGCAGCCTTCCTTCCTGAGTCAGGGTCTCGCTGTCGAGTCCTAGCTGGCTTGAACCCATATGTGGACCACCAGGCTGGTCTCAAACCCAGAGACCCACTTGCCTCCTCCTACCTCCCCAGTGCTGCCATTAAAGGCTGCCTCTTCCTGACTCCAGATAGAACAACGCACTGGGTGAGAGTCGGACAAGCCCCCGGGGTCCAGGCTGGTTCCAGTTCCCACCTCATTCCCCCCGAGGGATGCAGAACAGCCATCCCATTCATCCTGTGTAGGAATGACATAAGCCAGGTCACTTCTGTACCCTCTCTCTTTCTCCTGAGCTAGCAATCCTGTGAATGTAAGGACCCACGAAGACCTACTATACAAGAGGGTGGGGGTGGAGGCACAAGAGTCCCCAGAGACCCAAGAGTTGTCTCATTCACACCCAGCAAATGGATTCAGATTCTTAAGACCCATCTGGAGCCTATACCCAGCTTGCACCAGGATGCTGCAATGTGCAGTTTTAATGCTGGGCGGGCCTGGCCTTTGGGCCGGCCGTTTTGTTCAAGGTACAGTGCAATAAAAGACTTTCTGTGCCAGGTGGCGGCGGCACACGCCTTTAATCCCATTACTCGGGAGGCAGAGGCAAGTGGATCTCTGTGAGTTCCTGGCCAGCCTGGTCTGCAGAGCGAGGTCCAGGACAGCCCGGGACTGTTACATAGAGAATCCTATCTCAAAAACACACCAAACTAAACCCAAACCAAAACCAACCAACTAAACAAACAAAACTACTTTCTATATCAGGTCCTCAAAAAGTCATTTTGATTTTATCCAGCTCAAAACCCAACAAAGTCCAAAATAGCGTGGGGGGACACGCGCTGAGAAGAGATGGATGGAGAGCATGGGGAGAGGAGGCCAGGTCCTTGGAAAGGGAGTCTGAGGGGACTGGGTACTGAAGCCTAAATCCTGACCCTACCCGGAAGGGAACTGATTTCATTTGCCGCCAATTCCTGTTGGGCTCCATGGTGTGGCTGTGGCCGCCACAGTCTGTGGGTTTAAAACGTGCTCAGATCCATCCCCACATCCTCTCAGAGAGGCAGAGGCAGCCCTATGAGCCAGTGGGTCTGAGCCCAGGAGGAAGGAGCGTTCAACGACTTCCGGGCTTTATCCAGACACTTTCCAAATAACCCTGGAGCAGGCACACTGCCTGCTTGTGTGCACTGCCCGTCCGTCCAGGAGCCTGTCCCAGCTCGTGGGAAAGGATTTGGCGAGGGGCGCCCCAGGCTATTTTGAGATGCTTCTAAGGCCATGTGTTTCCTGTAAACCTGCTCCTCACACTCAGTGCTGGTCACTAGAAGAAAGCTGTGCTTTCCTGGGGGAGAGGACTTGAAGGAACCCAGGGGGCTGACCCGGGTTGCCAGGGACATGGAGGGTGACTCGGGAACCAGGGCACAGAACCATGATTTATAGTACCATGGGAACAGCAGAACAGAGGAGATAAGGATCGAGACACCCTAAGCACCTGAATCATACACCCAAATCCCCACATCGAGAGATGGGCACCAAGGTCAAAGCTGGACCAAAAGCATTTGCACTGCAGACCTGGGACATGAACTCAGGTGTGCCTGCAGAGCGGAAGTGTGAGCCCAGCTGCTGCTTGGCAGCAAGAGGTATCCTGGGATCTAATGTTTGCCCTCCATCTTCTCACACCTCCCTCTGGTCAATTCTTCCCGTCCATTTCCCATGACCCACCGTTTTCATGGCCACGTTCATGACCAGCAGGTCAGAAGCTCAGCTGGGAGGTTGTCAGGGACCCCGGAGAATGTTTGAGTTTAAGCCCAGGTCCCAGAGCGGCTAGAACCCGGGAACATGGGAGGCCCGGGTCACCTCGTCCAAGCAGTTCCCAAAACCTTCCTACCCCAGGGCCTGTTTCTACTATGGCCTTGGACACTTGGATCCTGGGCTGTTGGGACCCACAACTATTTTTAGAAGCACAAAGGCTAAGAGGACAATGTTGTATCCCTCCAGGGACGGGAAGAGATGTCCCTGCCAAGGCTGTTCTGGGAAGGGTCAGTGATGGAGATGGGGTGGGGTGGGGTGCGGAGAAGAGTGCTTAGGAGTGACCGAAGTCACTTACACTGACTGACTAAGGGCATATCCAAGGCCAGCTGGGGGTGAGTGGCAGGGCTGAGTTAACCACACAGGGAGAGCAGCCTGGGAGAGGTTGGCAAGGCTCTGGTTCCCAGGCACCAGGAAAAGAACGCACAAGGCTCTGGGTCCTGCTTGATCGAAGGCAGAATCTGTGTTCCCAGTGTCTGTAGGATGCTGCTTATGTAAGCAATGATTCCCTGCACCGCAGCCCAGGGTGGGCAAATAGCCCTCCACACACCACAGCTTAGTGATGACTGTAACTCCCAGTGCCTTCCTATTCTGGAGGGGGCTGGGCACCCAGCACAGAAAGAT